AGTGAGTGTGAGAGAGAGAGTGTGAGTGAGTGAGAGAGTGAGTGAGAGAGTCAGAGAGAGTGTGTGAGTGAGTGAGTGTGTGTGTGTGTGTGTGTGCGCGTGCGTGTGGATTCGTACCGAGTCCAGTATCAGCGAACCACGATGTGTTTGAGTTCAGGTCGATGTAGTCCAGCTGAACCGGGTGTGACGGCCCGGATCCTTTGCTCACTCGGATATAAACCTGAGGATATTCCTGATCCGGAAGCACCATCATCTCAAACACACGCAGCGGCGTCGGCAGAGGGAAGTCAAATTGCTGTGAGACAGAACAGAGTACATGATAAGATGTGAAAGAAAGTGATGATTTTATTCATCAAGTACACATTAAATAGATCAAAAGTGACAGTAAAGACATTTATAAAAGATTTCTATTTCAAATAAATGCTGTTCTTCTGAACTTTCTGTTCATCTGTGAATCCTAAAAATAAAATGTATCACAGTTTCCACAAAAATATTGTGCAGCACAACTGTTTTCAACATTGATAATAATCAGAAATGATTTCTAAAGGATCATGTGACACTGAAGACTGGAGTAATGATGCTGAAAATACAGCTTTGATCACAGAAATAAATTACAGTTTAACAGATATTCACACAGAAAACAGCTGTTTTAGATGATAATATTTCACTGTTTTTACAGTATTTTTGATCAAATAAATGCATACTTGATAAACAGAAGAGACTTCTTTCAAAAACATTAAATGGTAATGTACGTCACAAAAGGTGTTTTTACACAAACATTTTAATGCACTGTTGTTGTTTATCGTTCACAGACGACAGAAAACAAGACATTGTTGCGACTCGCAGAGTGAGACTGAAGTGAGAAAAATATTTATAACAGAACGGAGACATGCTGATATTTGTGTGTGTGGATGGTGGGCGAGTGTGTGATGTGAGAGGTCAGGGGTGAAGAGCAGCGAGGCACTGGATATTTGAAGCGACTGTGTTGGCTCACCTTGATCAGCATGAACTTGTGCATTGGCTCGTACCACTGCAGCAGAACCACGCTGGACTCCAGCACACAGCACAGAAACACACAGCCGTTCTGAGCGTTATGAGCTGCACACACACAACAGTGAAGAGTCATTCGTTTAAAGAGCCGCTCAACATGCTAACTGTTCTGGAGACCAGACTAAAACCATTGTGTGTTTTATGTGAATCATTCTGATCAACGAAAGGTTAATAAACGAGGCTTTCTGAAGCAGTTTGTCTGTTCAGTTAAAGTAGAAGTGATGAGGATTTGCTCGTCTCACCCACTGTACATGTTCTGCATCCCTTTGTGTCTGGAATCTTCGTGCTGATTGCAAACTTCCTGTTATGAGACGATGAGAGGAGCGAGATTAGACTGAGTGTGTGTGTGTGTGTGTGTGTGTGTGTGTGTGTGTGTGTGTGAGAGTGTGTGTACCTGGTATTTATCACGTTATGGGGACCAAATGTCCCCACAAGGATAGTAATACTAGTAAATTTTGACCTTGTGGGGACATTTTTGAGGTCTCCATGAGGAAACAAGCTTATAAATCATACAGAATGAGTTTTTTTGAGAAAGTAAAAATGCACAAAGTTTCCTGTGAGGGGTAGGTTTAGGGGTAGGGTTGGTGTAGGGCAATAGCACATACAGTTTGTACAGTATAAAAACCATTACGCCTATGGAATGTCCCCATAAAACATGGAAACACAACATGTGTGTGTGTGTGTGTATGTGTGTGTGAGTGAGTGTGTGTGTGGTTTCTCAGTTTTCTTGCATGTGTGGTCGGAATCAAACACACATTGGTAAACGTATTGCTGCAGTAAGTATGTGTCACGCTGGTTCATAACTCAAATGCATACAATGTGACAAAAGGAGGCGGTTACCGTGGCAACAGTCTGTGTGTCGGCAGTGCAACGATGCGATGCTCTCTGCGCGTCTGTTCGTACAGCTCCTTCAGCGAGTGTGAGTGCAGCTGCGACGACTTCCCTGTTTCACAAAACTCTCATCAGTCCTTCAGCTTCATCACACACTTCCCATCATCATCATCATCATCATCATCACACAAGTGTGCTCCTCACCTGAGACGGACATTAACACGCCTCCAATGGTATAGAGCCACACACACTTGCCCGGGAACAGCTGGGAAAGAGCAGAAGCAGATTAATGGAGAGTGAATGTGCTGAGGAATGATCTGCATGTGTGAGGGTCTCTCACCAGCTCCATGGTGGTCTCAGAACTGTTGAGGTTTAGTGTGAAGATCCCCTCATCCGCCCCGAAGATCAGGTGCTGATCTAAAGCCAACAGCAGGAACGTTACTGATAGTTTATGCTCTGAAAACGGTCCAGCAGAAGATGTCAGACTGTACCTTTAGTGGTGGGATGCTCCCATGAGCTCGAGCAGCTGAGCTTCAGAGGACAGCCGTGAAAGACCTTCCTGAAGACAATCTGTCAGAGAGAGAGAGACGTCTGACATCAGTAAACACACCGCTTCTTACTTTAGCATCGCGGGACGGAAGTCACCATTCTTATCATCTAAAAATTATATCATAAATGTGATATTATAGAAGTGAAATTAATAGCAAATATAAAATAAAATAATATAATATATCATATCATATCATATAATATATCATCATATAATTTTTCAGTTTTCATCTCCTCTCATATTGAACTTTAACACAGTTTGTGCTTAGGCTTGGTGTTTATAATAAATCTTCTTTATAATGAATGCCACTATGATTTATTTTTAATATAATTATTAAAAATAATTGATCATTTATTTCAGCTAGTTTCTAAGGAAACATTTAGCATTTTTCATTTAATTTAACTCGATGAGCTAAAATAAATAAAACTAAAACTGAGATTAAAATTTATTAAAAAAAATAAATAAAATGACAAAAATACAAAACAATTACAAAAATGTTAACAAAAATTTAAATAAAACATAATATATAAAAATCTAAACATTCAAAATATTAACGAAAACTGTAATAGTATTACTGATTTACAGTGTTTATAATGTTTTGTTTTATTTATTAAAATTTTACATGATTTCTGATTGTAATAATTAAATGCTACTTATACAATTTTTTTTTCTCAACAATGCAATTTTGTGTCGGTGCAACTTATATTCAGGTGCGACTTATTTCCCGAAAGCGTGGTAATCAGAAAGCAGTGAGGTCAGAACGTACCGGCGGTTTCTTGACCACTGGACTGACACACTCGACCGGATCCTGAACGAGAGCGAAACACAAGTCAAACTGAGTCAAAGTGACACGTCTGACCTCACACATGATACCTGACTTCCTGTGAGAGCTCACAGCATTAACACACACTTCTTACACATGTGAAGATGAGAAGATTAAAATAAGCCATAACAGATTTTACAGAGAATCTTCTTCATGTTAGTGGATGATCACATGAAATGAAGAAGTTCTGTCTGTAATCTCCTGAAGATCACGTGCTTGGATCTGAGATCAGATGAAGCAGAACTAAAGGTCTCAGTGTGAAGGACATCAGCAGGCACCTGAGGAGCTTGTCTGCGTCTTCTGTCCTTTGGTGGAAGTTCAGGAGGCTGAAGGTCTGCTGGTGGATCAGTGTGGAAACTAGAGAATGCAGACGGATCTACACACAGAAACACACACACACAGATGCATTACTTTACTTTTGTGTTACTTTTTGTTACCTGAGCTGGGCTTGCTTATTAATTTTAACTGTAATAACAAAAATCACAAAAAGTATATTTTTGGCAACTGTAAGGACCTTTTCACACCAAAAGTGAAATTAATAAGCCTCCGGCTGAAGGAAGTGCGTCTGCATAAATAAATAGGAAAACAAAGTAACTAGACTTGAAAAAGTAATGTGTTACTTTACTAGTTATTTGAAAAAAGTAATCTGATGAAAAAAGTAATGTAATGCGTTACCCCAACACTGTGTGTGTGTGTGTGTGTGTGAGAGTGTGTTTGTGTGTGTGTGTGAGAGAGAGTGTTTTTACTTTATGTATTAGAATCAAAACATACTTAAATCTGGAAGCAGGGCAGATTTAATATATAATCTGGACTCTTGGGCCACATGGTCTTTTAAAAACAAGATTTTAGTGGTGCTTGTCCAAGCAGTAAAACCTGCCTCCACAATCCTAGTGTGTTCTGAGTCAGTTCAGGGTTGTTGTTGTCCTGGGTTGCTACAGTGTCCTTGATGGTTGTTAGGGCATTCATTGCTTACTGACCTACATCAAAAGAGCCCACTCTAAAGTTGTGTGTGTGTGTGAGTGTGCGTGTGTGTGTGTGTGCGTGCGTGAGTGAGTGTGTGTGTCTGTGTGTGTGTGTGTGCGTGTGTGCGTGTATAAGTATATAAAGTACAGTATGTATGTACTACTGACTTACATTGATCTGAAGCTAATTATAACAACCATTAGTCAACCGTTTTAGCCTTTTTATGAATTTATTTTCATCACAAGGACCTAGGTTTATATATTTCTATATATTTCACTATATTTCAGGTTTTACTTCAAGTTTGTTCTTGCCCCCCACAAAAACGGAAACCAAGTCACAAGCATAAGATTCAACATGTTTTTATGTGAAACTCCAGTTAAAACAACAAATATTGTTGTCATTTTATGTCATATTGTGGTAATATTTCCTTCTGGATATGTTTTGATGAACTTCAGGTTTAATCTGTGAGCAGACGCAGTGGAGCGACTCACTTTGGGAGGAAGAGGAGGAGGAACGTCATCACTGAACTGCAGTGTGCTACTGAAGAGAGAAAACCACACACGCCATCTGATCTTCATAATTCATGAAGACATTCATCTGTACTGTAGATTATTGGTGACGTACTGTACCTCGCTGGTCTGTGGGAGAGAATAAGAGGCACGATTAACCACAGATATCATTAGCGCTCTCATATTCCATCAATGACATCACACCACACGTTCAACAGAATCAAGAGAATATGAGCAGATAAGACACAGAATCTGGCAGATGCTTTTGTCCTAAATGCTGTTTGGTTAGTCTTCCTTTAAAGTAGCTTTCTGTCTTTATTAATATTTTTCCAGTAGCTCAGAGAGTAGGTCATGGGTTCGATTCCCATGGAAAGCAAGAACTGATCAGATGTAAACCTTGAATGCAATGCAAGTCGCTTTGGATGAAAGCATCTGCCAAATGCATAAATGTAAATGTGTTTATGATTTCAGAAGAGGAGAAGAACTTACATTTCCACGTCGTCATAATCGTCGTCCGTGTCCACACTCTCATCCCTGTAAGAGTTTATTATGAGAACCGTCAGCAGGACATCGGCTGTATGTTTCACAGACTAGTGAATAAACATGATGTCGGCTCTTACCTTCTTCTGGAAGTGATGGGAGGACTCGTCCACTGACCTCCTGACGTCCGTAACTACACCAATCACATCAGTAACAACACACGTTATCCAAAAACATCTGCTATGTAATTAAAACTAATGCAAACCCATCCTATTTTTATTAAATTGTTAACGTTCTGCAAGGGGTGTGTAAACTTCTGAACACACCTATATACACAGCTAATTATGAGAAAAATTAAATTAGTAATTTAAGGACCCCATGAAGTGGTTTGACAAATGCATTCTTCCCTGTGGTTATGCATTTCCTGTTAAAACAGGAAGTTGTGCTGGGACATATCATCCCTTGTTTTTAAATAGCCAGTTATCTTTTGTTTACGTCAGAGCCATGAACTCGTTCTAGAAAGCATGACTGGACAAGCATTTGTGAATAAAGAGACGTCATCAATACTTATCTGTTTCCTGAAAGAGAAAAACTGTACATTTTAAATGCGCATATCTTACAGAAATGTGTATTTTGTCAACTTTTAGTAATAGAGGAGCTCAAAGACATAAAATTAAAACACTAAAATAATAATAATAAAAAAAAGTTTCCCCTTAGAGAACGTCCTCACAGGAAGGTTTTGAGAGACCTAGCTCACTCTCAGCAGTTTTCTCTCAGAAGTTAAACACTCAAACACTAACCGTTCCTTCTTGAGACTCTCGTTTGCCAGCGACGGGTCTCTGTGTGTAAATCTGTTCCACTGAAACACAGAAATCAGGTTTATAATAATGAAATAATGAGTGCATATCTGTCATGAACACACACGAGAGTCTTACAGCTGATGTCTGAGTTCGTCCTCTCGGCCCGGTTGTGTCGGTTGATTGAGTGAATTCTTCTGAGTGAATGTGGGACAATCACCTGAGAGAGAGACAGAGACGAGAGACAGACAGATGGACTGTCTTATGAGTGCGTCACTGAATCATTCATTCAACCAAATTGTTTAAAACACTCAATTCAAGAACTAAACAAGGGACTGTCTTTATGAGTGAGTCACTGAACCGGTTATTTAACCGAGACATTCAAAACACTGATTCATTCAAGAACTAAACAAGGGACTGTCTTAATGAGTGAGTCACTGAATCATTCATTCAGCAGAGTCATTCATATCACTGATTAGTTCAGGACCTAAACAAGTTACTTTCTTTATGAGTGAGTCATTGAATCGGTTATTTAACCGAGACATTCAAAACACTGATTCATTCAAGAACTAAACAAGAGACTGTATTTATGAGTGAGTCATTGAATTGTTCATTTAACCGAGACATTTAAAACACTGATTCATTCAGGAACTAAACAAGTGACAGTCTTTATGAGTGAGTCAATGAATCGGTTATTTAACCGAGACATTCAAAACACTGATTCATTCAGGAACTAAACAAGGGACTGTCTTTATGAGTGAGTCATTGAATCGTTCATTTAACCGAGACATTCAAAACACTGATTCATTCAAGAACTAAACAAGGGACTGTCTTTATGAGTGAGTCACTGAATCGGTTATTTAACCGAGACATTCAAAACACTGATTCATTCAAGAACTAAACAAGGGACTGTCTTTATGAGTGAGTCACTGAATCGGTTATTTAACTGAGTCATTCAAAACTCAAAACACTTCAAGAACTAAACAAGGGACTGTCTTTATGAGTGAGTCACTGAATCGGTTATTTAACTGATAACTGAGAAACACTGATTCATTCAAGAACTAAACAAGGGACTGTCTTTATGAGTCAGTCATTGAATCGGTTATTTAACTGAGTCATTCAAAACACTGAGTCATTCAAGAACTAAACAAGGGACTGTCTTTATGAGTGAGTCACTGATTCATTCATTCAGCAGAGTCATTCAAATCACTGATTCGTTCAGGAACTAAACAAGTGACAGTCTTTATGAGTGAGTCA